TCACCTCCTCCGAGCCGCCCAATCAGAGAGGCGATGGCGCGCGGGGGCGTGGCCTAGGCCTGAAGCCGCGGGAGAGCGTGGGCGGGGCGGTTCTCGCGCTGGGCGCGCCTGCGCAGTGGTGGGCGCGGCTGGAGGCGGGTCAGTGTCCAGATGCGCGGCGTGTGCTGTTCTGGGTCCTCGGGCAACGCGAGCCGCCCGCCGGCTCCGGTGGAGCGCGACACTCAAATCTCAAGTTTGGTTTTACACAGGGGGACCCTGAGCCCCAAAACTGGAGTGTGATTCAGAGCTGGAAAGGGCCTTGGCGATCATTTAACCCAATTCTTAAAAGGTTCGTTCCTTTACTCTCTTTTAATTGAGACGTTATGTATGTATGTATGCATATATGTATGTATGTGTTAATCCTCACGTGAGGATATTTTCCCATTGATTTTTAGAGACAGCGGAAGGGAGGGGGAGAGACAGAGAAAAATATCCATGCACCAGAATCGAACCTGGGACCTTTCAGTGGATAGACATGCGCTCTATCCACTGAGCCAAACCAGACAGGGCTAGACTTTATTTATTTATTTATTTACTTCAAAATATTTTTATTGGTTTCAGAGAGGAAGGGAGAGAGAGAGAGAGAGAGAGAGAGAGAGAGAGAGAGAGAGAGAGAAATATCAATGATGAAGGAGAATCATTGTTCGGCTGCCTCCTGCACACCCCACACTGGGGATTGAGCCCACAACCCAGGCATGTGTCCTGACTGGGAATCAAACCATGACCTCCTGGTTCATAGGTTGATACTCAACCACTGATCCATGCTGGCCGGGCAAGAAGCCTGAACTCTGCATTTTCTTAAGATGGATTTGAGGAACTGCTAGGGCCTCCATCTTCCTGATTGGCACCTTCGGTCAATAAGCTTTTCCTCCCTCCGGACTCTGATGCTTTGAGTTTTTGCATTTTGGAGCACTGGGCACATGGACTTGGACGGGTAGCACAGTAAGGTCTTGGGGGCTGAGCACAAAGCTCCCAGGCCTCTCTGGATGCACCCACCTCCCAGCACAGTGATGTGTTCACCAACCCAAATGCTCCTTCTGACTCATGGATTCAGGGTTTTTATGTGGGATTTTATCACAGATGCATGATCAATTCAGTCATTGGCCATGTGACTGGACTCAATGTCCAGTTCCTTTCTTTGGTGCTGGAAGTTCTGACCTCTAATCACATGGTCAGGCGGACTTGTTATGAATAACAGAAGACACTCCTATCACTCGGTAAATTTCAAGTGTTTTAGCTCTGTGCCAGGAACCAGTGACAAAGACCCACTATATTTTACTATACGACCTGTGCCCATCAGCTCCCCCAACTAATTATATAAGCAAAACCCATGGGCTTGCTCTGCAAATCCAACTTCAGGATAAGTCTCTGGCACCCGCTTCCCAGTGAATCCAGGAGCTGTCATTGTTTCCCTTAGGATGCCCACCCCCAGGGCCTAACCCCTCTCCCTTTGCCAGCTGGATGGCCTTGGGCGGGTCACCTCATCTCCAGAGTGGTTTCCTCACTTGTAAAATGGAGAAATAATTCCTGTCTCAGGGAGTTGTCTAATGAAATGAGGGGCACCCAAGTGGCTGGCATGTGAGGGCACACAATAAACACTAGCTACTTCCCTCTCCTCTAACTGTAAGCCCTGACCCTCCTTCCTGCACTCTGACCCGTCTGACCCCTGGGGGATGGGACTGTCTGGGTCGTCCCTGTCAGACACTCAAATGAGGCTCCCATCTCCCAAACACACACCCACACCCACACCCACACCCACACCCACACCCACACCCCCACCCCCACCCAGCACCAGGAACACATACCATCTGAGCCCTGGCTTCTAGGCCTGGTTTTACCATTAACTAACTGTGTGACTTCATACAAGTCCCATGTCCCCGCTCTTCTCTGGGACTCATTTGTACAGAGAAGTGCTAGGATCTGAGGTTCACCGAGGTGCCTTCCACTCTGGCCAAGTCCCCACCAGCGATCAGCACCAGAGTGAAGCAGAGTAAAGCCAATGAAGGTTTGAATAACTTAAAATTTTATTCTGAGAAAAAGTACTGTAAAGGCAATTTCCCAAGGTCAAGTGTAGATGAGGAAGGGAGGGCTGCCTGAGCCTTTGCTGGGGTCAGAGCTGGGACTCAGGCCAGTACACTGTTGGACTCTGCCCATGGGGACCCAGCCAAGTCTCGTGAGGCCAGAAGGGACCCAAGACCCTGTGACCTAAACGAGGGAGGGGCACGGAAGAGGCCCAGGCCAGGCCCCCCTACCTCTGCAACAGGATTGTAGGCACCGTGGGGCATTGCTACCAACTCCCCCAAGACTAAGAAGGAGGGCTGTTCCCTGAGTCACAGAAAAGGGGTTCACCAGTGCCATCTATCCCAGCGTGGGAATGACCAAATCCTGGACAAGGAGCCCTGCAGGGCACGCAGGGACCAACCCGGTGAGGCAGGGCCGAGGGGCGCCGTCAGGCCCCGAGCTCATCCTTCCACTCCTGCAGCTTCTTGTCCATGGCCCGGAGCGTGGATTCATCCTGCGCCAACAGATTGGTCCCTCTCTTCTCCCCAGACCCCCGGCGGGCCCTGGGGAGCGGGGGAGGCCTGCCCGCCCTCCCGCAGCCCTGCCTGTTACCTTCACAAAACAGAAGCGGATATAGTGGTCAAAGTGCTTCTGCTGGGGCACGCTGTAGAAGACGGACACCGGGATGGCCACCAAGCCCTGGGGAGGAGGAAGCCCGTGTCTCAGCATGGCCTCCCGGCCCAGCAGCCCCAGCTCTCGGGTTTCATGCGCACCCCCAGTGCTATGTCAAGGTCAGAGGGAAAGAACTACAGAACATCCCATGTCCCTCCTGTGTGTAGAGAGGACATGGAGGCCAAGAGAGGGGTCAGGGCTGAGCCAGAGAGTAAATAAGACTGAGAATCATAGCTCTGAGTTGGATGACCACAGAGTTAATGGGCCAACTCCTCACTGTACAGATGGCAAGACTGAGGCCCTGGGAGGCCAGGCATTCGTTCTGCCAACCACGTGCCACCTTTGTACAAATTAAACAGGCTCGCCATCCTTGACGTGGATACAGTCCTGTACCAGGGCTCATGGCAGAGGCGGGGCTGGAGTGTGGCCCCTTAGCTTCTTGGTCAGCCCCGGAGCAGTGCAGCCTGTAAACCGTACACGGGCCCCGCCCACCTTGTTCTTGATCATCCACTTGACGAAGCGTCTGTCATAGGGCTCGTTCGCAGACCCAGGCAGGTCAGGCATCTTGCTCTCTGGGGGACAGAGGCCACGCTGAGCCCTGGGCAGCCTCCAGCCCCCCACACCCTGCCCAGCCCGGCCATTCCTCACTGAAGTCCGAGATGTCCGTGACGAAGAAGTAGCTGCCCTGGGGGATCACGGGCCTCAGGCCCACAGACTGCACACTTCGCACCATGTGGTCACGGCTGCGCTGCATGGCCTGTGGCAGCTGCACAAAGTAGCTGCTGGGCTGGCCGAAGTGCAGCTGCTCCCGCTTCAGGCTCTCGGCCACTGCGGCCTGGGGGGATGGAGAGGATGCACAAGCCGGTCAGGCTGACCTGGCCCCGGAGCCAGCCCGGCCCTCCCTCCCCCGGGTGCGGTCCCCTGGCCTCCTCACCTGGGCCTGCGTGGGACAGTGGTAGATAGAGTTCTGATGCACTGTGTACAGGTGTTTCATGAGTCTCTCGGGGCCCAGGACCCAGCCCACCTAGACCGCAAACACAGGTGGGGGTGAGGCCTTACAGGGCCTGGCCAAAGGCGTTCTTAACTCCCAGCCACCTTTCCTGCCAGGGGCCAGGGGGGTAGGGTAATCCTCTAACCTGTCGACTCACCTTCCAGCCGGTGGCGCTGAAGGTCTTGCCAGCGCTGCCAATGGTCAGAGTGCGTTCCCACATGCCAGGGAGGCTGGCTGCCCAAGGCCAAAGAGAACAGCTGCTGAGATGGGGCGAGGGGGCAGGGAAGGGTGGGGGCTGGACCCCAGTGGGCCCTCAGGCTCTCACTCTCAGAGCTCTGATAGTGCTATTTATAGGACTTATTCCAGGTTACCCTCATGACAAGCCTGGGTGGGTGCCCCTGTCTCAGAGGGGGTAAGTCGCTGCCCCTGGTCACATGACCTGTGTGCCTCCAGACCCTTAGACCCTAATCGTCAGGCCTGCTGCTGACTCCTATTGGGTTCAATGCCCTGGCACAAGTAGCTAGGGGAATGGGGGCACCCTGGCCAGCCGGGCTCACCAATGCTGATGTGCTGGTGCCCGTCGAAGACCAGCCACTGGTAGACCTCGTCCGTGATGCACAACACGTCATGCTGCTGGCACAGGCGGGCTATCAGCTCCAGTTCTGCCTTGGAGAACACCTGTGGGCCGTCCCCAAACACAGGCCTGCTCAGAGAGGTGAGGGCACATCCAATCCCAGAGCCTTTCTGCCCCATCCTACTGAATCCCCACAACACTGATCCTGTGAGATAACGGAAAAATAGAGCCCGAGCCGGTTTGGCTCAGTGGATAGAGTGTCATCCTGGGAACTGAAGGGTCCCGGGTTCGATTCTGGTCAAGGGCACATGCCCGGATTGGGGGCTCGATCCCCAGTAGGGGGTGTGCAGGAGGCGCCGACCCATGATTCTCTCTCATCATTGATGTTTCTATCTCTCCCTCCTCCTTCCTCTCTGAAATCAATAAAAAATATATATTAAAAAAAAAGAGAAAAATATGTATGTTGGTCTCTGCCCCTGGTTCCTGGCACAGAGCTCCTGAAACCCTTGTAAACGCCTAAGTGATAAGAGCGCTGGGAACACCCTTTGTTCTAATGAGGCAGCTCTGGGTGGGGTCCTGGGCGGGGCTGGTCCTAGAAAGACCAAGCCCGAATGAGAAGCCTGGATTTCAGCCCCACTTTCCTAGAGGGAGAGGGGCTGGAAAAGGAGTTGCTCATTGGTCATGCCGATGTGATGAGGTCTCCACAACCCCAATCATGTGGGGCTCAGAGCTTCCGGGTTGGGCACCCGAGAGGGTGATGCAGCCCTACTCCCTGGGGACAGACGCTCCTGTGCTCAAGGCCCTCCCAGGCCTCGCCCCGTGGATCTCCTCATCCGCCGTTCACCTGTGTCCTTTAGCACGTTCTGTAATACGCTGGTAACGTTTTCCCTGAGTCCTGGGAGCTGCTCTGGCAAATTAATTGGACCCAGGGAGGGGGTCATGGGAAGCTCAGATTCCCAGCTGCCTGGTCAGGGGCACAGGGATCACCTGGACTTGGGCACTGGCATCTGAGGTGGCGTGGGGGCCGTCTCGTGGGGCTGAGCCCTTAGCCTGCGGGATGGATGCCCCCTCCAGGAAGACAGGGTCAGAACTGAACTGAGTGGAATTGTAGGGCACCAAGCAGGTGTCGCAGAGTTGCTTGGTGTGGGAAAACCACACACGTCTGGTATCAGAAGCGTGAGTGCGCGAGTCGTGCGTGAGTGTGGGAGACACCCAGGAGGAAGACTGGGTTTTCCTTCACATTGGTTTTATCATGTTCCCATTTTACAGATGAGAAAACACTCAGAGAGGTGGAGCCACTGTCTCTGGGCCCTGGGGAAGGAGGTATGGAGGCACCCAGCCCGCTCCACCACCAGCCCTCTCACCCTCACGCTCACATAGGCAGCCCTCCTGCTCCAGAGGAAAAACCTGAGGCCCCGAGGCGGCAAATCAGTAAGTGTGTGGACTTGAACCCAGGGCAGAGGGTCCCCAGAAGGTCTCAGTACCTTTCCCAGGGGGTTGTTGGGTGTGTTGAGGACTAGGGCTTTGGTGCGAGGTGTGAACTTGCTGGCCAGCTCCGTGGGGTCCAGCTGCCAGTTGCTGCTGGAATCCAGTTCCCCATCCCGCGTGGGGGTCTGCAAGAGGGCGGCAATACTTGCTTCCCTGGCAGTCAGTGCTAAGGATCTGAACCTCTTCCCCTCCACTGTCCCCACCTTCTCCCCACCCTCTCCCCATCCTGGAGAACTGGCTTCCCTTCCTCCCTTCCTCCCTTCCTCCCTTCCTCCCTCCCTTCCTCCCTTCCTAGGGTCCAACACAGCACACTCCTTGGACCCCACCCTCACCCCAACCAGCATTCTCACCGGCTTCAGGGGCACAAACACAGGGCAACCCCCTGCCATCAATGTCATGGGCTCGTAACAGTCAAAAAAAGGCTCGATGATGATGACCTGGTACAAGGGTCAGATGAGCTGAGGTCAGTATCGCCCTGACCCCTCACCCCCACCAGGCCCCAGCCCCGCCCCACTCACCTCATCTCCTTCGTCCACCAGGGCCTGGAAGGCTGTGAACAGGGCCCCGTAGGCGCCCACAGTCACCAGCACGTTCTTCAGAGGGTCTATCTCCTGTCCCAGCAGCTTCCCAAAGAAACTGGCCAAGATCTTGGTCAGTGGTGGGTAACCCTGCCGGGACAGAGGGGTCAGCCGCCTGACTCAGCCGGCAATTCGAGCATCTTCTCCGGGCAGGCCTGGGGCAAAGTCAGCTCCTGTGGGGTGAGTCCTTTAATCGCCCCCGTGACACCTGCCATGACCTGCTCTGCGCCAGCCCAGTGCCCAGGGCTGGGGTACGGTGGGGAACCGGACAGAGCGCGCGCCTTCGTGGAGCACAGCCCAAGACGGCCGCCAGAGCAGCGGCAGCTCCACACCCAGAACACCTCCTTTTAAGTTCAAGGCGCACATTCGTGCCATCTGATCCTCCCAGCAACCTTGCAAGAAAGGCACTATTTTTATCTTTATTTATTTTTTATTGATGTCAGAGAGGAAGGGAGAGGGAGAGAGAGAGAGAAAAACATCAATGATGAGAGAGAATCATGGATTGGCTGCCCCCTGCAGGCCCCCTGCTGGGAATCGAGCTCCCAACCCGGGCATATGCCCTTGATTGGAATTGAACCCGGGACCCTTCAGTCCACAGGCCGACACTCTATCCACTGAGCCAAAGTGGCGAGGGCAAGAAAGGCATTATTTGATTCCCACCATTTGGCAGGTAGAAAAACAGAGACCCAGAAGAAGGAAAGGACTTGCCCAAGGTCACGCAGACGAAGTGCAGGAATAGGGTTTTATGCCACAGCTTTGAAAGGATCCCATTGGGAGAGGAAGACTGGGTCGTACACTTGTTTGCTGAGGACACTTGCAAAACGCTCAAGGCTAAGCCAAGTGAGGCAAGTAACTGAAACTAAAGATGGAGACTTTAACTAAATAACCCACTAAACCAGGTTTGACCACATAAAAATGAAAAATTTCTGTACAGCAAAATATACCAGGAGCATACTTGAAAGACAAAGAGAGAAAACAATGCAAGGTAAGAAAATCAGGTAAGATATTTAATATATAAAGGGCTCTTAGGAAGCAACAAGACAAAGGTACACACCCAAATGAAAAAACGAGGTAGGTCACAAAAGAAAAAGTATGGATGCCCGATGTGCATATGAAAGAATAATGATTGAAGAAAAGCAAATGAAAGTAACATTGAAATGGTGCTATATTATAAGAAAATGATGTCACCATTAGCAGGTATTTAAAAGATTGATAATGCCCATGGTTGGCAAGAGTGAGACAAAAGGTTCTTTCACCCAAATAATAAACTTTCCTGCCAGCTCTGAGGCCAGTGTGTTGCCGGGACTGTGAGTAAACCTTCCTGTAGGGCAATCTGACAATATCGATCATGTGCTTAAATGCTTATGCCCTTTAGTTCTCTAGTTTTACTTCAAGGGATGTATCCGAGAGAAACACTCACACACCTGCACCAAGAGACATACACAGAGCTATTTACTGTGACACTGTTCATAATAGTAGGATACCCAAGCCAGCCCAGCAGGGCAGAGCTAGTTAAGCAAATCATGCCACATCGCGGCAATGGAATACTATGCAGCCATGAAAAAGAACGGGGGCTCTTTGGACATGGCAAGTTGTCATGCTGTTTACGGAAATAAACAAGTCACAGAATGTTATTTATAGTATGAGTCCATTGGTGTTACACACAAGTCTCACACAGAGGTATATAAGCATGTGTGTGTATGTTTTTTTATGTAAGCATTTTTAAAGGTTAAAAGTTTAAAAGTCTGAACACTCTAACCAAAGTGGCAAATTGTTGGCAGTGGCTGTCCCTGGATGGTGGACTTGGAGGGAACATCCCTCCTGACAATTCCGATGCACACCAACGTTGAAGAGCCATTGTTCTACTCCCAGGGTTGGCAAATAGCTACTCTGTGGCCCTTTACAGAACGCGTTTGAATTTAGAGTCAAATCAATTAGTAGCTTGTCTTTCAGGGCTCTGCTTACGTGTCACCTCCTCCAGGCAGCCTTCTCTGATCCCCCCTTCTTCCTGCCCCATTTCCCTCCATCACCACATATCAACTGCCTTTGTTTTCTGGTGTTTTGTTGTTTTTTCTTGGTTTTCGTCTGCCTCTTCCCAGACCATGAGCTGTCCCAGCCAGAGCCCGACACAGAGGACACACTCAGTGAACACTGAACTATGGCTGGACTGAGTATCCTGGGCTCTTCCCCCTCCTTCCCCGGGCTCATCAGAAGCCTGTGTCCAGGGGCCCGGGAGGGACGGGGAGACTCACAAATGCCCTCGTGTATTGGTTGAGCATGAAGTCCCCGCTGACGGCGTGCTGAAAGGCTTCCACGGCGAAGTCTGGGGGCGGGAAGTCGGGGAAGCCTTGTCCCAAGTTCACAGCATCGTGCTCACTGGCCAGTTTGGTGAACTCCACCCTGGGCAACAAATGGAGAGTTGGCACCAGCCCCTCCCTCCACCCCGACCTGGACTTCCACCTGTTTCCAAGGCAGGGTGAGCATGCACGGGGCTTGTTCTAGAGAAACTGGACAGCTTGCGTCCACCCTGGAGATGAGTGTCAGGCTCATCGCTGGTAACATGCTCTTCCATTAGGGGGGCCAGGCACTGTGCCAATCCCATGTCTCAGCCCAGGGCTTGCAAACTTTCAGACCATGATCCATAGTAAGAAATCATCTTTATATCGCAAACCCTCCTGGAATTACATTCTCCTTCTGGTGTGATCTAGTGCCGTGCCTAGCCTAGCCGAGCCTACTCAATTCTTCAGAAACACTTCTTGTCGAGTCCCTCCAAGTGGATTTCATGACCCGTTTGTGCCCTTGCCAACACCAGAGTGAAACGCTTGCTCCCGTAGCCTCCCCGATGTGCACGAGGCCCGTCCTGTTCCCGGGTCACAGTGGGATGGAGAAGCTGAAGTTTGGAGGGACCTGCCCCGTGAGTCCAAGGCACACCCAGAGTGACTCCACATCTGTCAGGAGCAAAGCTGATGCTCTCGATCCTTACGCTGGGCACACAGGAGCCCCGCCAGCCCAGCGTCTGCCCTCAACAACCTTTCTTCTGGGCCTGCCCGGTGGCCACCTCTTCAGGGAGATGGGGAGAGAGGCGGGGAGGCTGGAGGAGGAGGCTGCTTGGGGTTCCAGGCTGGCGGGGGGCAGAGTAGTCAGACTTGGCTGAGTTACATTGAATACAATAGCTATCATTATGTCTAGTGTGGGGAAAACACAGGACTCGTAAGGAAAGTTTGTGAGGAGGACATTCCGAAAAAATGAGTGGGCTGAAGGTGGCCCACCCTGTTTATCAGAATTCTGATTAGGGGAGTGTGGAAGGCGGCACCCCTAATTATTCCTTGACCTTTCCAAACAAGTCTGTGCACGTGCAGACCCCTTGGTGTTTACTGAAATCCTTACACTTAATTTTTAGGTGTCCTTACTTAAAGGACACTGTAGACACATGTCCCCCCAAGATTACTTACCCTAGTGATTGTATCTAAAAGATAAACTTTTTTTATTTTATTTTATTTTTATTGATCTTTTAAGAGAGGAAGGGAGAGAGATAGTTAGAAACATCGATGAGAGAGAAACATCAATCCAGCTGCCTCCTGCACATCTCCCACTGGGGATGCGCCCGCAACCCAGGCACATGTCCCCGACCGGAACCGAACCCGGGACCCTTCAGTCCGCAGGCCGACACTCTATCCACTGAGCCAAACCGGTTTTGGCCGAAAAGATAAACTTTATCTCAAACTGCTGCTACAATAAAAGCCTGAAGAGGCAGGCGATTGAGGCTGTCTGGTTCCTTTAGCCAGGCAGTCCCTTAGCCCTCTCTTTCACAGCAGTCGTGTGTCAGAGTGTTCATTCATCCGTCGCTCAGGGTCTACTGGTCAGCCCGGCAGTCTAGAATCAGTCATTTTCTCCCCAGAGTTCCATGATGCCCCTGAAGACACAGGAAGCTGCTGAGGCTCAGAGAGGCCAGGTACCTACCCAGAGTCACACAGCAGCTAATGGCAGTGCTCAGGTGGTGGATGTTCCACGGGAATTAGGACAAGGGAGCCAGGCTCAAACATCTACAGAGACTGGCTGCCCTCGGGCCACCACCCTGGGGTCCGCAGGAACCTGGAGCCCTTGGTTACCCTGATCTCATGGCCTTGATCCCTCACACTCCCCTCCTGTCCTGTGCATTCTTGCCAGACCCACTCCTGCTCTGCCCTGCCTTTGCACAAGACTTAGCCTCTCCTGGCCTCAGTCTCCCCTTCTGTACAATGGGGTGGTTGGCTCCAGAATCTACCAGGTTGTGAGTCAGGAAGGAATCTTGTCTCCCCTCCCGGCCTGCCTCCTCGTATTCCCTGTTCTGAGTTGCACTTTACCTTATCTGTAAAATGGGCCACCAGGCTGCCTAGTCTGCTGCATGGAGAGGACGGAGGGGGGCAGTTTGAGGATCAGCCAGACTCTACAGGGAACTTGGGCCTGGCTCCCTCATCCCAGACACCACGGAGCATCGAAGGAGAAGACGGAGGAGGAAGATCTTCGCAAAACACAAAGTTCTGTGCACGGGGGCAGTTTGAAAGAAAGAATCTTCCCGTGTTGTATAAAAAAAAAACAGCCAACAATCTTTTTAAGAACAGAGGTGTCTCTATGTTCCAGACCCAGGTCGGGTGTGGCCGGAAGATCATGAACTCCTCACACGTCTGTCCACTGCATCCACCTATCGCCAGTAACAGTGGGCATGATCCTCCCATATTTAGAACAAGTTGGCGAAGAAAGGAGCTTAATCTCAGCTTATGTCCAGTGAAGAGCGCCTGTATCTTACGTTCCTAGCGTGACTCACTCTGTACTAAGTGAAATAAAACAGCCCCTAAAAAGCCCCCAGCCTGTGCCTGGGTAGCCTATTGCTATCATACAGTCTTAACCTCCCAAGGCCGTTCGAGAGAAATAAAATTATCTCCCTCTTGCAGCTGGGGAGCTGGGGGTCCGGGCAGGTGTCAGGGGCCCCAGGGCCAGGGCCAAGCGGGGAGAAGCTGGGTGTGGAACCCAAGCCTCTGCTTCAGGACTTGCCTCTCGTGGGCTGTGGCCGTAAATCTGACTGTCCTGGGTTCCGCTGAGTCCTGCAGACCTAGGGACCGGGACCTCCAGCCCTGTCCTGCCCCCACGACCGAGGGACACCCCCACACCTCCCCGGCGCCTGCCCACTCACCAAGGGTTGTGGTCGATCCCATCCAGCCTCCGTGCATGCAGCCTTTTGGCCATGGTGAGCTGGAAACAGAGCAAATGGGAGGTCAGAGTAGAGCAGGTACCGCACCTGGGCCTCTAGGAAGACAGGAAGCCGGTCCACCACCTTCAACACAGCCCTGCCCACCACTCCCCAGGAGGCGGCGAAGTGACCTTCAAGCCAGCACTCAGCAGGGCTCCGGCCGCCTCCCCCACCTGCGCCCTCCGGACTCTGCATTTCAGCAGGCCCTGCTGGCCTTGCCCCCCTGCCAGGCTGTTCCACAGCCCCCATACAA